CCATCCCATCCCATCCCATCCCATCCCATCCCATCCCATCCCATCCCATCCCACCCAGTGCACCCAACCCCTGCCTGGGAATGTGGGAGCAGAGCTGGACCTGCACAGACACTGCCCCTTTGCAGGACTCAGAAACTGCCCCTCTGCAGGACTCACAGACACTCTGCCCCTCTGAAGGGCTGCCCAGCTCTGCCCGTGCTGATGCACCGGCTGCAGGAAGCTGGGGGCTCCCAGGGGACTTGTGGAAAAGGAGTTTGGAGCCAAAGCCCTGCAGATAGCTCTCATTAGTGCTAATGAGTGCTCAGCTCCAGTCCCCGGGTGCTCCATAAACTCAGCTATTAATTCCTTCAAACCACATCCCTGGCAGCCACATCCAGACCTGAGCAGCCCACAGTGTGCACTGGGACTCAGAATCAGGAATCTCCTGGGCTGGCCAGGATCATCCAATCCAACCCTGCCCTGCATGGACACCCCAACAATCCCACCCTGGGCATCCCTGGCAGCGCTGCCCAAACACTCCTGGAGCTCTGGCAGCCTCGGGGCTGTGCCCATTCCCTGGGGAGCCTGGGCAGTGCCAGCACCCTCTGGGGGAAGAGCCTTCCCTGATACCCAGTCTGACCCTGCTGTGGCACAGCTTTGTGCATCACTGTATGATCTTCACCCACCCAGGAGGGCCCTGAGCTGTTTTTGGGGGTACAGGGTGTCCCTGGCAGGGCAGGCAGTGCCAGCACCCTCTGGGGGAAGAATCCTTCCTGATATCCAACCTGATCCTGCCCTGACACAGCTTCATGAATGAGTTTCTGATCCTCACCCACCCAGGAGGGTCCTGGGCTGTGTTTGGGGGTACAGGCAGTGCCCAGCACCCTCTGGGGGAAGAATCTTTCTTGATATCCAACCCAATCCTGCCCTGGCAGAGCTTTGTGCATGAGTTTCTGATCCTCACCCACCTAGGAAGGCCCTGGGCTGTTTTGGGGGTACTGGGTGCCCCTGGCAGGGCAGGCAGTGCCCAGCACCCTCTGGGGAAGAACCTTTCCTGATATCCAACCTAACCCTCCCCTGGCAGAGCTTTGTGCATGAGTTTCTGATCCTCACCCACCCAGGAGCAAGGCCCAGGAGGGCCCTGGGCTGTGTTTGGGGGGTACGGGGGTCCCTGGCAGGGCAGGCAGTGCCAGCCTGGGGGAAGTTCTTCCTTTGGGGAGAAGAACCTTTCCCTGATATCCAACCCAAACCTGCCCTGGCCCAGCTTCATGTACAAGTGTCTGATCCTCACCCAGCCAGTAGCAAGGCCCAGGAGGGCCCTGGGCTGTGTTTGGGGGCACAGGGGTCCCTGGCAGCACCCTCTGGGGGAAGAACCTTTCCGGAGACCCAACCTAACCCTCCCCTGGCACAGCTCTGGGCAAGAGTTTCTGATCCTCACCCAACCCAGTAGCATGGCCCAGGAGGGCCCTGGTCTGTTTTTGGGGCACAGGCAGTGCCCAGCACCCTGCACCCCTCATCCCACACAGCAGCAGACACATGGGAACTGCTCTGTGCCTCTGTGGATATATTTAGCTCAGCAGCCACAATAAAAAGCAGCTTCTGATGTGCTCAGTCCCAGACTCGTTCCTGTCGCCTTCCCAGGGTTCCACCCTCCTCCAGAAAGAATTATCCCTGACTTTAATTACTTTTGGAGCAAGATGATGTGCTTCCCTCATCCCCGCCCTAGACATGAACAGCAGCCCCAGGGGATGGGCAGAGGAACCAACTGGAGCCACAACACATTTGGGAATTTTCTTCCCTCTCGGGAAAAACGAGAGCAGGTTTTCAGCAGAACATTTCTTTGTCTCTCCACTCCTCCCAGGGGTTTAAATACCTGCAAGGGGGGTTTGGAACAGCATGAGCAGCAGTGCTAGAAGGGTGTGCACACATGAATTTTCCCCAGGGTATTTAGGAACCCCCTTTGAGCCTGGCCATGCTGGCCAGTTCCAGTGCCCATACCCCAACATCTGCCCCATTGCCCAAACCTCACTGTCCAGGCAGCTCCAAGCACCCCAGAGACCCATCCCTCACCCTGGCTCTCCCCAGGACCTGTGGGGCTGGGGAGGGCCCACGGGCCAGTCCCCAGTGTGCTCCCCTGTTGGGGAAGATGAAACAGGAAAGCCTTATAAATATGATTGACTGGCAAAAGACTTTGAGAATATGGAAACTATAAGTGAGATTGAAATGAAAGCAAGCTTTGAGATACCTCAGTTACTGAACAACTGGAAAACAATGGTGTGGCCAGCTGAAGGTGATCCCCTTCTGATGAAACAACACCCTCTGCTTGCAGACAGGCCCAAGGGTCAGAGCAGACCCTACAGCTTGGCAGAAGGGCCCAAAGAGGAGTTTTTAGGGTTTAGAATGTGGTAATGTAATGATGTGGTAATGTAATGATTCTTATAGGCTGTATGTAAATGCTATAGGA